TTAATGAAAAATGACGAGTTTGGAAATATAATGAATAGTTGGGTGACAATTTTTTAAATTTTAATAGTTGAAGAACTTAATAAAGTCGTACCCTTTAGTTAGAGGACCATTTGTATATTTTATCCTATAATAAAAATGTATGATCATAATTATAATTAATAACAAACTATTATAGAACACAAACTGAATTGATAATCAATTTTAATTACCTAAATAAAATTGGAAAAAGACAACAAGATTAAACTTAAATTTAATATTCTTATTTTTTTAATAATTTGAGGTGATTAGAAGATAGTATATGTTTATAATATTTCTTAACTATTAACAATATACATACATCATGCAGATGTAGTTGCTTGAACAGTTGAACCCAAGACTTTTAGGAAGAATAACACTTACTTAAACTACTGAAGCCACTTGTTGAGTTCAAGAATCTTAAGTTTTTAATACTACTCTTTAACGCCGATTTAAAGTTTTATCGTCTAATATATAATATTAAAGGTGGCAAACGAGTCATTGGGTTCGAGTTCGGTTTAGGTCATTTTGGTTTAGACTTAATTTGGGTCGGGTCAAGTCATTTCGAGTTTCAGTTTTATTTGAGTCTATAGGTATCAGGTCGAGCAAATATCAGATCGATTGATTTTGGGTTGGATTAATATCTGATCAGTTATTTTCGATTTAGGTCAACTTTAGATCTTCAGGTCAACTCAAGTTAAGTTGAATATAAGTCAAATCAAGTATATATAGAATTAGTGATATATTTTTATAAAAAATATGTCTTTTTTTTAAAATCTTATCATTTGTGTTCAATTTCATTCAAATTCAATTATCATTTATGGATTATAATTTAATTATCGACCTATAAGATATGTTAGAGTTAGTGATATTTTTATTGATTCGGACTGAAAAGTTTATGATACGATCTATTTCATTAAAAAAATAATTATAAATTATATAATCTATTAAAATTTTAAATATAAATATTATGTTTGAACAAAAAATATTCTAAATATATTTATAAATGATATTATATTATTATGTCATTGATACTATTTTAATTTTAAATTATAAAAGAATATATATATTTATATTATAAAAATAAGTTATTTGTGTAGTATTAAATAGGTTATTTTTATATTAAATTTAAATAACTAATTTTTTCATATTCAAAAGATGAAATTCATTGTAGTGAGTTTTAGAAAGTTATTTTAGTAGTTCCAAAGTAAAATATAATAATACATTTCAACCATAGTTTAGCCTAATTTTTTCCAAACATATAATAGTTTAACTTGCCTAATGATTTTATTAACAATAGATGTGATTAGTATATATGAATAATTTAGGATAAAATTGAAATATTCAAAAAATTTGGGGACCAATTTAGGATGAAGATCATAGCTTGGGGATGAAAATGAAATGTTCATAAGTTTAAGGACTAATTTAGAATAATAGTCATAGTTTAAAGATGAAATTGAAATGTTTAAAAGACTATGGACTAATTTGAAATGAGGGTGATAGATTGGGGATATATGATGCAATTAACTCATTAATATTCATAATTTGATTTAAATAAATTCAAAACCAATTTAATAAGTTATTTTATTATTTTAATTCATTTTAACTCAATTATCAAGTTAAAATTAGGTCACTATTCGGTTTAAATCGAATTTAGATAAATTAAATTCGGGTTACTTTCGATTTAATTGTTTTTGGTTCGAATTACTTTCGGTTATGATTAGTTTCGGTTTAACTAAAATTCAGATTAATTTCGATTCAATTCGATTTTTCAAATTTCGATTCAAATTTGAGTCATCGAGTTTGAATCTATTTAGGGTCATCAACTTTACAATGTTTTTCCTTTTCCTTTTTCGTTTTCCGCCTTTTTTACAATGTTCTTCCTCCTAAGGTTCTGTTTGCATGCTGAGAAAATGGAATGTGCAAAAATTTTAATAAGGGTATTCTCTGGAGTCTCGTTTTTTAAGGCAAAAGCTGCTGTATAAAACATGCTTTTCTGCGTCAAATTGCTTTCTATTTGCTTTGTTTAAAGTTTTTGCTGCTAAGAGCTATGGGGAAAGTTATAACAAAAAAATCACACCGAGTAAAAGATATAAAGGAAATCACCCCTCTTATGAAAATTGTTTATTTTGGCTATATTTCATTGCGGCTTTCTGTAAACTTGCAATTGCTGTTGCGGCCTCAGATTTCATGGACATCAGGAATATATTGTTCCAAATGTAAGAAAATTTTTGAAGGAAAAATTTATGTTGTATTTTGTCAATTTCATGGATATTTATTATCCAATTCTCTATAATGACCTAAGATGATTACCTGAAAATTTTATATTATTATTAGAGTTAGGTTAAGTTATTGGAAATCTTTTATGTAATTCATTGAACCTTTTTTCTAAACTTCCATTTGCTGGAAGCAGCAGAACCGATTTATGGAAATAAAAGAAATCTGAGGTTTAAAAGGCCACCATTTCAAATAACTGTTGTCCTTTTGTTTTAATGAAGATAACAAAGGAAATAAAGATGCTTTGGTGAATTTTAGGATCCTTTTGATTGTATGTATAAGGGCCAATAGATTGTTGTTGATATCACAAATGCATGCTCTGGCTGTGATTCAGGAATTCTTGAGGACTAGAGAAGTTGGTGAGTTTCTTAGTGGAGCTTAAGCCGGGGCTATGACCAAAGCTGTTCTCGCTCCTTTAGAAACTATCACGTTGGCAGACACGTCGTGTTATATGTTTTCATTTATTAATTTGCTGAATTCTTGTCTTTACCATTATATCTAACATTTTTGTTTCTTTATCCAGGTGTCTGGTAAGTGTAATTATTTTTTACTGAATGGTTTTGGCTTTTAACTAGAAAAATATTGAATTTCTTTCCATTTTGACCATGATTTTAAGCATGGTTTTGAATTTAATTTCTGTTTTCCATATATTTCTATGACATGGGTCATAGGAAATTTACAATGGATAAATTGGGGTGACAAACTTTTATCAACACTTCGAACATTTGGTTCTTATTTTGATGATTCTTGTGGATGCCTTTTTTCTTTCCTAGTCTAGTACTGCACTGTTGTCCACTTATTCCTCTGGTGGATTTCAACTTTCTTAGTCTTTTATAGGATTGGATGTGTGCATTGTTAGTTTTGTTTCTAGGGTATAATAACTTGTTGACCTGAAAAGTTTTGGATATCAAGTCATTCTTGAAATCTTTGAACAGTTTCTTGTCATCATTGTTACCTTATTCATGATCCTGTTCGCCTTAAAATCATTATCATGTGTTTGCCACCAGTGTATTTGTTCAACTTATAATTTATGTCTTCTGATATGCAGGACCAGAATGGTGGTCGGGGTTGGATCCAAAAACATAACTGGTAGTTTCATGGAGATCATTGAGCAGCAAGGTTGGCATGGACTGTGGGCTGGAAATGGAATCAACATGGTTAGAATAATTCCCACCCAAGCAATTGAGCTTGCAAAATTTGAATGTGTCAAGCGCACAATGACATCAGCACAGGAGAAATGGAATGAGACTGACAAGCCAAAATTGCAAATTGATAATTTTAATGTTAACTTTTCTCTTTCCTGGATTTCTCCATCTTCTCTGGCTGGTGCAGCTGCTGGAATTGTTAGCACACTTGCATGCCATCCTCTTGAAGTTATCAAGGTATATGACATATCATGAGTTGATTATATTTCTTCTTTATTTTTGTTTTCCGAATAAAAAGGAAAAAGAAAAGCAGAACATTCCGTATTGTGACGAATTATTTCTTTTAGTTTTTGGTTTTCAATAATAGTTACAGATGGTGCTGTATAATGATGTCATCCAACTAATCATTTTTATTAATGTTTAAGAGACCTCTTAGTATCTCCCTTGTCTGAGCAGTGGGTAAATTAGTTGAATAGCCTATCTTTATGTTGTTTAGACACTTGGGAAAATAATAAATCTGAATCTGATCACGTTGAAATTATTAGAGTAGTCTCATTTTATGCTTTTGCCTATGGATCTGATGTTCCCCCGTGTAATACTTACAGGATAGGTTGACTGTCAGTCCTGATATATACCCTAGCTTAAGCATTGCAATATGCAAGATTTACAAGGATGGTAGAGTTGGTGCCCTTTATTCTGGTCTCTCTCCAACTCTAGTTGGCATGCTTCCATGTAGTTCTTGTTACTATTTCATGTATGATAAATTAAAGAAATCATAATGCCAATCAAAGAAGAAAATTTCCCTAAATCATCCAGAGATGCTTGTACTTGGAGCTCTTGCGGGTGAGACTCGGCCTGTGCTGTTTGTTTGAAAATATTTATGGGGTTTTCCTGACATTCATTGATAATACTCGTTCATTTGTTATTTTGACTATTAATGTATTAGCAGCTAAACTGGTTCAATTGAAATGACAAGGTTTTACCGCTAGCAACATAAGCTTTCCCTTGGAAGTTTCCAGAAGTTGCCAGAAAACAGCTAATGGTCGGAGCTTTACAGAGGGTGGAGTGCTAGCTGTCTAAAAGTAATGCCCTCCTCTGGTATCACCTGGATGTTTTATGAAGCTTGGAAAGACATTGCTTGCTGATAGACGCATAGTATGATGGCTGTAGAAACGAAAAACACTTCTCATAGCTAAGCTAACTAGTTGAAGCTCCTCTCTTTAAAGTGCAAGAGGATGCTGTGTTATTCAGTGGCTGATGATATTTAACAGTATCAGCTCTCATATGTATATGAATAATAACCCTAGCAATTTCTACATTAATTTTTTTTTTTTAAATTTGTTCTGCTGAATTATCAGGTGAGTTTCAATTTTGGAGCCATATTAAATATTGACATGTACCGAAAGATTTCTTATGTATCACATGAAAATTTGATCATTTGGTCTCTATATTTTTCCAATCTCTTGTAACTGCAATTCTCAGGTTTGCATTTCTCATTGTCCTTGATATGTTGATATTGAACAAACAGAAGCCATTACCACTAAAAATGTGGTGAAACAGACATAACCAAAAAGTTTGTATTACAATCTTGGAGGTACACATGTTACAAATGAATTTAAAATTTTATTGATGACTACGGCACTAAAAATCAGTAATACATCTTACAGTGTCGGCTAAAGTATAGCGAGGATATGACAAGGCTTGATCTAAGTTCAGAAGCTTCAACTTGCTTTCCCGTGTGTTCAAACAGCACTTGCAATTACATATTATCGTCTTCAACAATGGTTCCATTTCTTTGCCTTTGTAACTGAGGAACGCATGTTCTGATTGACTGTGAGTTTTCAGCAAGCATATAAAGGCAGAACACGCATAATCCTATTTCAGAAACACAAAATTTTATTTTCCATAAATTCAAAATGGAATTGAGGGGGAAAGAGAGATCATTATCAAAAAATTATCAAGCATGCTAGAACTTCTGGTTGTGAAAATTTATTACATAAAAAGTATTCTTTGTTGTCAAACAGTAAATCACATTTTTTTAACATATTTTAGCCACATTCCCGAATCCTGTCATGGGGAATCGATTGTTTATGGCATTTAAATATTATTGCTCATACGGTGATTGCTCCAAAGTAGAAATGTAAAATTTCCGAATGCATGAAATCAATTCGAAGTGCTTGAATGAGCAAAAAGAACTTGAGAGGATCTCAAGACAGAGTGTGGTTCAGTCAACAATAACCAATTCAATTATCTGTCATGTTTTATCTACAAAAGTTTAAAGTTGCACTTGATTCAGCAACAGAAAATGGGAAGTTAATGGCAAACATACCTGCATAAGCAACAGTGGCACCAGAGACCAATCGTCCAATGGCCGACAGTATGTAAAGACAAACAATGACCTGAAAGTAGACATGCATCGGAAAAGGGTGGGTTAAATAATGATTTTCAAAAGGCAACAAAGCAATGAGCAACTAAACCAACAAGAGAAACAGTTGGCTGGGGTTCCTAAGAGAAGGATGGGTTATCTCGGAGGTTAGAAGCATCAGACCATTTGAGATGGATATTCAGCAGATATCAACTAAAGCAGACGAATCAGGATATAAATAGCAAGAAGTAGCTGATTTTATAGTGAATATAAATTTAAGTTGCAAAAGTTCACCCCAAAAAACAGCCTTTTGTCATGTCCAGTTGCTGCAACCCTTAGAACTGACTCAGCTGCCCCAACAGTATTAGCTAACCACGCAAAAATGCTATTAGCGGCATCCTGTGAGATCTGCCACTCAAGTGGATCTACTGGTACCCTATACAACATTTTTTTTCCATTATGAGGGTGAAGTAGTTCAATAATAAAAACTCATTACTAAAAGGAAAAAGCAAAATCATATGAATACCATCAGACAGATCTCATTGCAAATATGCACATATGATATCATAAACACACAATTTGATCAACACTGGACTAAATTTTAAAAGTAGTTCAAGTAATGCAATACCATCTGAGGAGATAGAAAAATAAAAACAAAATAAAAGCTATCGAGGAAAGGGAAAGAAATATAGGAAATACACGACAAAATTAGAAGAATAGGAGGGGGAATCCCAAACTTAGAAGAATAGGAGGGGGAATCCCAAACTAAAGGTGAATTTCAAAAAAACTTAAAATCTACCCAGAATTCAAAGCTATTACAAACAGAAACATCTTCAGCAACAATGGAACCTAATACAAAGCTCATTTAACCCTAAAGCCCTAATAATTCCCTAGATGTAGTGAAAGTTAAGATAGCATTGGAAAATGCTTATGAGATCAATAAACAAATCCGAAATGCTATATCTTTCAGAAAGCACGTTCTTGCCAAGCATCATCAGGACGATCAATAATTAATATACTGATGAGCACGCATAATATCTGCAGTCACCATGATTAATTAAACCAACCGAAACCTAAATCCGGAGACTACTGCAGACACACTATAAGAGGGTTAAGCGATACTCGGATAAATGAAAGGCAATAATTCAGTAGAAAAGGGGCGAGAACAATCCAAATCCACCCATTTCTTCGAATCAAAAGTGGCACAAAGCATTTGAATGCCCAAACTTCACCAATTCCAATTAACAAAAACAAATCTAAAAACTACCAATCAGCTTACTTATTGTAACTTAAAAACATAAAATTGGTCTTCACAGGAAAACAGTTCAACATCAAATCTTAAACTAGCAAGAACACAAATAAACTAAAAACCCAACAAATAAAACAGATGAAAACGACAATTTGAAAGAAACCCAGAGGTGAAAAAGAAAGAAAGAGTACGAGATGTTCATTTGACGAAAGAGGAGGCCGAGAATGGCAAGAGAGCAAAGGAGAACGATTAAGACATCGGAGAAGAGAGAGAGAATGGTTGAATTGCGGTAGGCACAATGGTAGTACACCAAAGTACCACATACAAGCAATCCCAATGCTTTGCTCACTTCGCTCCTCCCTTCGCCTTCAATCATCTCTTTCTTGTAACCCCTGTTCAACTTGGATTGTTTCAAAATTTTGATTTGCAGTTGGAGCCTGGAGACTTAATTTTCAATTTCTCCCTGCCTGCCCCCGATGTGGAATGAGATTTTAGACGCCTTGACTCGTATTCTTTCTGTTTCCGTTTCCTTTCCTTTTGTTCTTAATCAATGGATAAAATATAGGATTTGGGTTGATATCCAAAATCCTAGCGGTTTTGGGTTTTTGGTTTAACCGAAAATTTTAATGTAAAGGATATAATTTGGAGAGTTGGTAGAGTCATAATATGAAAAATGTAATTATTTTAATTTAGAGAGTTGGGTGGTTTGTTCATGAAATTAAAAAAATTATTTTTTAAGAAAAAATTATTAATTACCATGAAAAAAAAAATATACTGGATCGATAACCCCACTCCAAAAGAGGGGGAAAAAGCACTCCAAAAGAGAGGAAAGCAAAATTGATAGATGAGACTGGTAAAAAAATTGGTTTATTAAATCATTTTCAAAATTAATTTGGACCTACTATGAATGCTATAGTACAAAGTAAACTCGTTATTTATGTCAACATGACGAGTTTATTTAAATAATATTTTTTTATTTAAACTTATCACGTCAAAGTGACATTCTAAAAAGATATAATCTTTTATTAGAATTATCACGTCAAAATGATAAATTTTAATAAAAAATATATTTATTAAAACTCGTTATACTCGACGAAATCCAAATCAGTAGTTTCCAAATAAAAAATCTTGTACCGTATAAAGCTAAATAATTAGCTCATGCGGTATTGGCCCATTTTGCCAGGAAAAAACCATAATGGATCACTACTTGTTTTTAATAAACCCATAGGGTAAAATTTGTATTCCTATTGGATAATTTGCAAAAACATTCGATTAAGAATCACTGTAATATTGTCTATAACTAAAAATCATTGTTTAAAGATGGGGTCAGCTGATCAATGGATCCAACCATTTGACCGGTCTAGTTTTATAAACTATTAATAATAACTGAGATATTTCATCGTATATGGTTTTCAATAGTTACATTTTTATTCAAGACATAATCACAATAATCCACCCGATACCATGATAAGAATTCCAATTGGAAAATCCAAAGTTCCTTGTCACTTGGACTCTCAAATAATAAGCACAGGCATTCAAAAAGAAATTAATCGCCACCATCAAAATACGAAAAGCCAACTAGGTACTTGGATGATTTTCAATCCAAAGTCAAAAACTACACCTAGTTGAACCAAACCCAAAATAATATTTTTAGAAAATTTTAAGAACTGAACGGAACCAATTGGTTTGAATTGTTTCAATCATCTGTAGTAAAAAAAAATCACAAACTTCCAAAATCTAATTTAAGGGAACGTTTACCAGTCCTACTGAGCATGTTGAAGCAGGTATTGAGGGCAAGCACCTGTCGAAAGTAATGATGATCAAAAACCGCAACTACAAATTATATGCATAATCTGTGATATATCATCAAACAACATCATAAAGCAAAGCAGTCCACTGTCATTGACTTTTGGTACATAACACAAACAACTTCTATCCGAAAACACTGAGATGATTACACACGAATTAACCAGGTCCAACTTTTGGAATGTCATAATGCTCACTCATGTTTGCCAGATACTGGTTGAAATCCTGGATTCTATCACGGTGAGATTTATTAGCTTGCTTAGCCAACCTATGAACATCGAGTTGCTCCCTCTGCTCAATGTATCGTCTCTCTGCAGGGGTAAGATGATCATCATAATGAGGAGCCTTCCTCTCCCCACTTGATTTCTCAGCATCATTGTTAACTTCTTCATTCAGGTCAACAGAAACTTCTGTGGTTCCACCTACATCAAGTACCAGCTAAAATTATGAGGTCTAGAAACAATTGTGAATTGTGATGCACTAAACTTAACAGTGTGTAACACGATGGAAACGGGTTGGGTCAAATAAACTGAGTATAAACAATACAATGATCATAGCATGTATTCACGATACATTACATATGTGTGTGTCCAGAAAACAAAAGCAATTCAGACCCTAAGTGCCTAGAGCCCTATACAGTACCTTTTTTGTAAAAGGGTAGGCACAAACAAAGCCAAAGTGATTAGTGTTCTCCTTGATTTCTTTAGTAGCATAAAAACAATGGATTGTATCATACTTGCCAACAAAACAGAGAGAAAACATTGCAAGTTTGAAAAATAAACTGGAGCACTCTATTGAGTTTATTAGTGCCTAGAGTGCGCCATTGCCATTCACAACAATAGCCCAACCCAATTCCAGTAAAGCAAAAGGTCTTAAAAATTGATGCAGCCACACAGATTTGGATGTCTCGGTGTTGTATTGTTTTAAAAGCCATTTGACCAGCAAAAAGAACAAAAATAATATTTCCCTTGAAAACGTTTTTGCGAATCTCTCTGGGAACTTTCATGGGGGTAAAACATGAACATTTTAGAGAATTGACCTTAACCAGTATCCACATTGCAATAGACATAAGAATAAGAATAAAGAAAAGGAAAAAAGAAGATTGTCATATTAATATGAAAAAGTAATGTCCACAAAAGAACAAGAGTAGACCCTCCATGTACATGTAAACAAATACAGAAAAGATTAAACGCACACATACACATATCCAATACTCAGACCAAAGTCCAACAATATTATCAGAAATGAGAAGAAAAAAAAACAGACCAGAAGCAGCATCAGAGAGATCGTTTTGGGTAACTTCGTCGTGATGTTGAATCTGTTTCTTATGTTTCTTTTTCTTCCTAATCCCACCAGCCTTAACATCTAAGGCTTTTCCCTTCAGCTTCAGCTTTCCACCTACGACATTCTCGTATGCCGACATTTTCCGTTCCCCCTAAAACCGATTCCCGAATTAACATCAAATTTGCAAACCCTAGAAAACGTTAGCGAAAATCAAATTGATCACTCACCTTGTCGGGTTACAGATTCTGATTTGGAAATAAATACGATGTTTGGATGATCAAATTGAAGAGCTTGAAGATTCCATAATCAAGTGAAATGCCTCATATCCGATTCTCTCGGGGATATTAACAGAACCATGATTTCTTTCCGGTCTAAGGTTCGGGTGCTTTTATAGACGAATTGAATCGGTTTTTAAGTTTTGGGCTCTGTGTCCACCGAATAGGCCCAGGGCCTGCTTTTTTTTTTTTCTAAAAATAGCTTTGTCTATCTGGTCTAATCGGTCCAATGACTTGTCTTATAACTTAAAATAAATCTCAAATCTATAAAGTTCAGTAAAATATATAATATAATATAATACAATACAATACAATACAATACAATACAATACAATACAATACAATACAATACAATATAATATAATATAATATAATATAATATAATATAATATAATATAAAAAAATAAAAATAAAAACTTTTACTTAGAAAAATAAATCTCAAATCTAAAAATATTCGTTTTTGAGTCCTCTTTATATTATTTTTTTATTTTTTATACTTTTTATGTTGTTTTCTTTATATATTTTTTAATTTATGACATATTTTATATAATTATTCAATATAAATTAATTTAAGTATTAATTCATGATAAATCTATTGAGTGACTTCAATGATAAAGGAAAATATTATTCTCTCTAGAGGTTATATGTTTAAGTAGTTGTGTCTGTAAGGTGTGTGTGCGATATCAATAAATTAAAAAAGAATGAACATATACTACATTATAATCACACTAGGCTATTAAAGAAAATACTAATTTGTGACGTGACATTTTATGTATGTTATTTGGGTATATCCAAAATATTATGAATTTGAACCCTTGAAGTCAGGGGTACAATAATTTTTTTTCTCTTTAGTGACCTGAATTCGAGTAATATAAGAAGAAAGATATTTCTATATTTTTAAAATTATTCACGACTAGCATAAAATTATATTTCAGTAATTTTACAAAAAAATCTACAAATATATCTTAAACTGATACATTTAAGATTTTGATATCAAAACATATTATAGTTAAACCCAAATTGATGAAATGAATGTTGGAATCGCAATGTACTTGAACTCATCAATAAATGATAAATTTTGTGGTTTCAATCTTTTAAATTAGTACACAAATATATTTAGGAGCGTTAACGGAGCTCCGAGGGCAGTCAGGGAACGGCATGCACTTCGCGGTGGCTCAAGAAACAACGGGATCGGACCCAGTCAGCACCATGGTGCAGTGCAGTCTAGATGAGACTGTATCCCTTGTTTCACTACTGCTTCGTCGCATATCCGAAGCTGCTCCTCCGCTAACGGTGCCCGTGTCATCTACGACGGTTGCTTCCTCAGGTGTAAATTTTATTTCTTTCAACTACATCAAGTCATGAACCACATAGACTGAACCTTGCAAGAACCATCCATATTTATAATTATATGTGCTTTTTCATTTTCGGAGAGGTACGAGAACAACATGTTCTACCAGCGAAGCACACAAGAGGGACACCTTGGGAATTGCGGGAACCGGTCAGCATAGCAGCAGACTATTTTCGAAACAACAGTCAGAAGGCTATTAGGGAATCTTGCAAGGGCGATTCGTTCTTTGCGGCGAACAGCGAGGAAGTGGTTGGCGTAAACGGCAATGTAACAGCGTACGGGGTGGCACAATGCATGCAAACCATCGACGAGACAGGGTCCAAGGCATGCTTGGATGTGGCTTTGGCCAATATTCGAAGATGCCCGCCTGACTCAGATGGTCGAGCAGTTGACACGGGATGTTTCCTAAGATACTCAGACTCCCCCTTCTTCCCTGCTAATTACACCGTTGATCTTAGGCCCTTCCTCGGAACCAGTAAGACTGGATCGGATCGGATCGGTCTAATCAATTGAACCGATTGACACAGAATCAGTTGTCTGTCCAGTTGCAGAGGATGTAGAGGGGCCACCTGAGTTGCAAGGTCCAATGACTTACAAAGAACTGAATTTTGCAACCTCAAACTTTAGTCAACAAAATAAATCAGGAGAAGGTTTCGGGGAAGTATACAAGGCAAACATAATTTATAATATAAATTGTAAAGATAATCACATGAAAACACTCCAATATCATACAGGTTCTACCTTCAACCTAGTTTGACATAGCAGTTTACTCAACGTTGTAAAGAACGGGAGGGCAGTAGCAGTAAAGAAATTAGCAATAGGCACGGCACAGGTAAAAGCAGAATTCCATACGGAAGTGAAGCTTATAAGTAATGTTCATCGTCGCAATCTGGTTCGCCTCGTTGGCTGCTGTAGCAAAGGCCCTGAGCTTCTCCTTGCCTACGAATTCATGCCCAACGGCAGTCTCGATAAGCACTTATTCGGTAATTAAATTATCATAAATTGAATTTCGATCGTCGTAAAAATCATGAATCTTGAAACCGAATATTGTTTATTTCAATTCGTCGAACAGGTGAAGGGCATGGTTCTCTGAACCGGAAACAAATATACCACATAATACTGGAAAAGAGTTAATTGGTGACAGGTTAATAGAATTTTTAATATTTATTTAATGAAAATAATTTAATCAATAGTATTTATTAATGATTCCTCCCTTAATTAAATAATTTTGTAAGTGTTTTAAAATAATCTGACAACAAATATGGCGTATATTAAAGTAGTTTACTTCGAAGTGATGAAAGAGATTTTGTTTTTTATTTTAACATTTTGATATGCTAAATATTGTATGTATCATCTTTCCGATAGTTTATTTCACGCCAAAAACTATTTTGAATAAATCAATATAACAAAAAAGGGTTTAATGTCCTGATTATATATTTATATTATTAGCTGTTAAACATGTAAATGATAAAATAACTCTAATTTATGTCTAAAATTTATTTAAGAAAAACCCGTGGTACGTTCATAAATTAATTTATTAATAAAATAATAAAATATATTGGGAGAAGTTGTCGGCTGAGACAACCCACCGGCCACCAGTTGTTGCGTTGCGGATCTTTCAAGTGTCAAAGTCTAAAAGAGTGAAACACCAAGAATAATAAAATAACAAAAAGAAAAGAAAAAGAGAGAAGAAGAAGAAAAACCCAGTAAACAGCTAAAACTTACAGGTAAAAGATAGGGAAAACAGTGGGATTATTGTGTTTTGTTATGTTTGGTTATTCTTTTTCTCGTATAATGTCCCCAAATCTCCTGATTTCCTCCACTTATTCACTTCCAGGTATGACTCTCTGTCTTTGAATTCCTTTCACTCTTATCAAAACTTGTTCATTTTCCTCAGATCTGTCCCATGATAATGGTTTTCCTTCAAAATGGTGATCTGGGTTTGCTTTATCTTGTTACCTTGACATTGATTTTACTTTTTTCCAAGGGTCTTGTTAAGCCGAAAAGTGTCGGCTAAGGAAATAATAATAATGTGATTAAGTATTTTATCATACATTGAGCTTCACTCCTTCAGCTTGAAAATTTGTGCTGGTTTACATTAGATTTTTTATTTAATCTATTTTAGGAAAAGAAATTAGGATGTGAATGCACTTTCCTTCTTCCTGCTTGATTTGGGCTGTCAATTTGCTTCTTCGGGTGTCTTTTTGTATGGCATATTTCTTAATTGGAAAGTATGACACGATCTATTTTTGATTGCTAGCCATAAAAAAAAAGCCTGAAAATATTGAATCGACATATTTGATCAGTGGGAGCTTCTGTTACTACAACCTTGGATCTCAATCTCTTCATTGATTTTGTTTCAAGTTGTGATCTAGGTATGCTTAGTGCTTTTTTTATTTGGGTTTATCTTTTTAATGAATATGTTAATGATCTCATGTAGAATCTGAATTATTTGACTTGTGGTTTGATATCTTAGTTCCTTCATCTTTTTAAACCATTCAGGAGGAAAATAAATAGTCCTTGGTTGATAAAATCTTAGCGAACTACACTGGAGTTTCTGGTTCTTTTTCATGGTTTCAGACCTTCATGGTTCTCTTCACTTCTATTCTACTTGTTTGTGTGGATAAATTCTGCATAGTAGATTCTATCAAAAAAAATATCTGCATAGTAGTACGGGATGTCTAGTTTGTGAGTCCAGCATGCATGGATAGGTTTTTATGAAAATATGTGAAAAAAGTAGTCTAAGGTCTGTCGCAATGAAGTTCTTGGACTTGGTTGTGGACTTCATAGAACCTTTTAGAATATTAAGCAGCAGAAGACATGGTTCTTATACTTCAAATTTGTTTTTAGGAATCGTTTTTGTGAAACAGAGGTTATGGTTAGCAGGGAGGTGGTTTTTGGTTGAAATACTGCAAACTCAGATTTTTAAGGGTCTCTTTTCGATCAGAAGACAAGACACTGAGGTTGTGCTATATGGTTCTTCTTGTCAAGAACTATTGATGTGGAAACTGATTTTCGAACCTGTTTTCCTGTGCACTATTTTGATCTAATTGGTTTATTCAGTTTTACCTTTCAGTTTTCATTATCTTTTTCATTGTTTTTCCTGTCACTGAATTTGCTTCATTGAGATTCATGGTTTCTGCATTGCTGCTGTCAGTTTTGATGCAGCATCACATTCTAGAGATCTGACTAAAATTGGACAATTGACTAATGAACCAACTTATGATTTAGTTCACAGGGAAATACGTGGTGGTGTTAGTTATTGGATTTCTTGTGCTGCTTGTGGTGAATTTTATTGTAACAATATTTCTTCATAGAAGTGCAATGTTGTAAATATGTTCCTTTTCCAGCTGCTATATGAGTGTTTCCGTGACTATCTGATCAGTTGGGTCTGTATCCTTTGATGTTTGGTTCTTTCAATGCCAGTATTTATCTCAGAAATCATTAGATTGAACTATTGTTCTAATAGCTAAGGTGCTTTTTTTTTTCAGGTGGGCTTTGACGTACTTATCGGTCTACTACTAGAAACTTCTTTTGTTAAATATCTTCTGCGTTGTACATAGGAAGCTAGATGGGTTCCAGATTCCCATCTCATAAGCTCAGCAATGGGCTTTATGTCTCAGGCAGGCCAGAGCAGCCTAAAGAAAGGACTCCAACCATGAGCTCAGTGGCCATGCCCTATACTGGTGGAGATATTAAGAAGTCGGGAGAATTAGGGAAAATGTTCGATATTCCTACAGATGGTTCCAAGTCCAGGAAATCTGGACCTATAAGTGGCGCTCCTTCAAGGACTGGATCTTTTGGGGGTGCTGCTTCACATTCTGGACCAATCATGCCTAATGCAGCACCTCGGTCTGGCTATACCTCATCAGGTCCTGTTGCCACTGGAGGCATGTCTGGTTCAGCTTCATTGAAGAAGTCGAACTCTGGACCATTAAACAGACATGGGGATCCTGTGAAGAAAACATCTGGTCCACAATCAGGTGGAGTGACACCAAGTGGACGTCAAAATTCTGGTGCTCTTCCTCCTGCTCTCCCCACAACTGGCCTTATTACATCTGGACCCATCTCTTCAGGGCCACTAAATTCCTCTGGTGCTCCTCGGAAAGCGTCTGGTCCTTTGGAATCAATGGGATCAATGAAAGTGAAAGGTTCTGCTGTTTATAATCAGGCTGTGAATATTCTTGGCCAGAATGATGACTTCTCTTTCAAGAAAAACTTCCCAAAACTAATATTATATGCACTGATACTGCTCTTTGTAATGGGTTTCATTGCTGGTGGTTTTATTCTTGGAGCAGTTCACAACGCCATTCTCCTCATTGCTGTTGTAGTGCTTTTTGGTACTGTTGCTGCATTATTTGCTTGGAATTCTTGTTGTGGGAGAAAAGCTATTATGGGTTTCATTTCTAGTTATCCGGATGCTGAGCTTAGAAATGCAAAAAATGGACAATTCGTGAAAATCTCTGGGGTAAGTAATCTAATTTAAATTTCAGATATGATATTTCTCATTATTGCTACTGGAAAATAGCAATCTATAATCACAAGATCCTATACAGTTTGATATTTTATTAAAAGATGTAATTGGAGTGGATGTCAAGTTGCCAACTCAAGGTCTTACTAATCACCATGTGCGTAACGCCCATTGTATCAAAAACCATGTACAATGGACATACAGCAGCATTTGTTTTATGCACTTATGATCCCTTGTAACTGTTGAACTCATCTAACTAGTGGGAAATGAATTATTGGTTGCTTATGCTTGTGTACTTGTGCTTTTTTTTATATCATTTAATTTTATCTACTTATTAATCCGTAGGTGATATTGATTAATTGTTTGTTTGTAATTTTTGAAGGTGGTAACATGTGGAAATGTTCCTCTTGAGTCATCCTTCCAGAAAGTTCCAAGATGTGTTTATACATCAACTAGTTTATATGAGTATCGAGGATGGGATTCCAAAGCTGCCAATCCTACACATCGTCGTTTTACCTGGGGACTCCGAGTGCTGGAAGTAAGTAATTGAATTGTTAATTTTTTACCTTTTCCTGAATTTTTTTCAAAACTTTTTATTTCCTTGTTTCTTTATATATACAATTCACACAAAGGCTTTCCCTTATTTTATAATTTCAAGTAGCTGATCATCTTTTATGCTCTGGAAAAGTGAAAAAGAACTAGGCTTTGTTGGCTTGCTGTGCTATGAAGTAATACATTGCCCTCCGGTTATAGGTTTGGCGGGGCAGATGTGCCAAACGTTGTGTGTAACTATTTTAATGCTTCATGTGAAAGATTTGTTTCTTGTTTTGTCTGCACAGTTTTGTAGCTACGTTACTTTGAATTGGTTGTGTGATTTTTGAAAATGTGTTTGACATATCTTTATTGATTTTTTTAAGTTTCCACGTATTTGGAGGTTCATATCCCCGTATGCGTTTGATACAAGTGTTGGACATGGGTACTATACTCCAGGCTTCTTTCTCTTTTGAATATAACCTTTTCTATATCATTTTGACAGAGGCGTTCAGTTGACCTCTACATCTCAGATTTCCAGTCTGGGTTGAGAGCATTAGTTAAAACAGGGAATGGAGCATCAGTGACTCCTTATGTGGATGACTCGATTGTTATAGATGTCAACCCAGCCAACAAAACTTTGTCTCCAGAGTTCATCAGGTGGTTGGGAGAAAGGAACCTTTCAAGTGATGACCGTTTAATGCGACTGAAAGAAGGGTAAATTTCTCCCCTATATGGTTCACCATGATATTAATAGCTTATGTTGCAGGAACAATAAATGGTATCCTGAGGGTCTCTCGGCTCTCTATTTACCGATGGCTAATGGGGGTTATCTTGAGTGTAGAAATTGTTTGAATTCATCTTCTACAATTCATCCATTTCAAAATGGCCGGCCTTTTGTTAATTTTTTTCTGTTTGTACAGATTAGTTGGCTATTTTTGTTGTGTGTTATAAACCGGGATCTGAGAGTGAAGCTTGAGGTAAGGTGGCCTAGCTAGGGGTGGCAAAATCTAATTGAACTCGAAAAAATATAGACCTATCTGAGACAAGACCCTGATATAGTATGATTGCCGAAAAAGTCAGTGAACTTGATAAAAATCAAACCCGAAACCCAATGCAACTTGGATCTAAA